TGTAATGAAACAAGGTATATGAATTGTTGAATGTGAAACTGATGATGTGCCCTGTAAACTTTCACTCAATCCACAATAAAAACCTTAAATTAAAAAAAATATATATATGAAAGACAAACAAAAAGATTTCTGCAATACAATACAAGAAACTTTATTTATACCATTGAATTTGGCAAGGATTTCATAAGTAGAAGAGAAAAGCACTAACCATAAAAGAGTGGTAATTTTAATTAAATACAAATTAAAAACTTCTGTTCCTCAAACTACCTTGTTAAAGGAGTAAAAACCAGCAAGCTACACAATGAGGGAAGGTATTTGTGACACACGCAGTTGATAAAGGACTCATATTTGAAAAATACAAATAATTCCTATTTCAAGCTCACCAGCTGCTTCTTGGTATCCCTATACAGGCTACTATGGGTTGGAACCGACTAGACGGCACTTAACAACAACAGCAATCAAGTCATGTTGTGGTGTTGTAGGATACGCACTAGACTGCTAACAATAAGGTCGATGATTCAATCCCACTAGTTACTCCACAGAAACCCTGTGCAAGGTTGCTATCAGTCAGAACTGCCTCAATGGTACTTATCAACAACACCAATCAATCAATCTAAAAACAAAAACCTAAAATCCAGTAAAGAATTTGGCAAAAGACTTATAGAGACAGTTCACTGAAGAGAATATCCAAATAGTCAGTATATTGCAAAGGTGCTTAACTCTTTAGTCATCTAGGAAGTACAAATTACGTCAACAATGAGATATTACTGTATACCCCCTGTTGTTGTTATTGAGTGCTGTCCAATTGGTTCTGACTCATAGTGACCCTATATAGGGTTTCCAAGGAGTTACTGGTCGATTTGAACCACTGATCTTGTGGTTAACAGTCCAGTGTATATCCTACAATGCCACACCAGGACCCTCCATATACCCCAAGAATGGCTGAAATGAAAAATACTGACAATACCAAATGGCAAAGATGTGGACTAACTAGAATTGTAATATTCTGCTGGTGGAAGTCTCAATTGGTGCAACCACTTCATTAAACAGCTTGGAGTATAAAATAAAGCTGAATAAACATATTTCCTATGATCCAGCAATTTCACGCCTAGCTTTCTGCCCAGCAGAGATGCAGGTAGATATATGCACCAAAAGGGCATGCACGGAAATGTTCCTAGCACTGTAGGAAGTCTAAACTGGAGAATACTCAAATGTCCATCAATAGTAGAATGGCTATATAAATTGTGAACATTTATGCCATGGAATGTTATACATCAATAAAAATGAACAAACTATAAATAAATGGGACAACATGGCTGAATCTCTGAACCTAGTTTTGAGCACAAAGCCAGACCCCTTCCCCTATAAATACTTACTTTTTTTTATAATTGATCATAAAGGACAAAAAGGAACTATAGTGTCAGAAGTCAAGATAATGACTTTCCTTGGGAAAGTGGGAGGTGACAGTGATTGTCAGGGGCACAAGGAGGTCTTTTGGATACTGTTGTTGTCAAGTATCGTTTAGTCGATTCCGACTCATAGGGGGTTGCAGGATTTGAACCACCAACCTTGTAGTTAGCAGTTCAGGGCTCCATGTTTGCATCATAGAGGTTGTTGTTGTTAAGTGCCGCCAAGCCAATTCCAACCCTGTATAGGGTTTCCGAGGAGCAGCTGGTGAGCTTGAACTGCCGACCTTGTGGTTCAAACTGGCTTTGCAGTCCAGCGTATTATCCCACAGCATCACACCAGAAATATTCCTCAGTTGTGTTTGTATTTTTCTCTAAGATTGTCCTAGAGAAAACTCTTCTTCGTAGTTCAATATTTTGCCGTAAAACTTTTTTTTTTTTTTTAATACTAGTAGTGATCTAGTGTGGCGCTGTAGGATAATCACTGGACTACAAGGTCGGTGTGAACTGCAAGGTTGGCTGTTCAAACTCACTAGCCACTCGGAAACCCTATAGAGGGTGGCTGTGAGTTAGAACCCACTAAACAGCACTTAAAACTAACAAAAAACAAAGCAGTGATGTATTTCTTGGACTTGGTGTTGGTTACACAAGAGTGCCCTTTGTAATAATTCACTGAGTTCTATATTTGGTTTCAGAACTTTTCTGTAGGTGTTAAACTTCATTAAAATAGCACTTAAAAAAAGAATTTTGTCCTTAGCTGCTAAGTGTGAAGAAATGCCCGATGGGAGTGTAAATGCATAGTCTTTCTTTAAAGCAGTTTGGCATTAGGTACCAACTTACAAATCTATATAGTTCTACATCCAGTAGTTCTACATCTAGGAATTCTCCTAAGGAAATAATGGAATAGTTTTATAGCCATTATAATGATATTGATTTGTGTTTATTAACATAGGTGGACATCCATAATTTATTGTAAGTAAAAAAGCAGGTTGGAGTAAATATGTCTGGATGAATTGTCATATGCAATTCCATCATATAAAACATAGACTAGAGTATAATAAATATATGCATATAGGAGTCTTAGTGTGGCGCTGTGGGCTAATGTGTCAGACTGCAAAGTCATTTGAACTGCAAGTTCGGTGGGTCAAGCTCACCAGCTGCTCTTTGGAAACCCTACACAGGGTTGCTATGGGTCAGAATTGACTCTACGGCACTTAACAACAACAACAATATATAGATAAAGAAAGAAAGATAATATTCATATACATTCCCGAATGCCCATGTTCCTCTGTATAGAAAAAGGACTGGGAGTAATCACACTGTTTTCTGTATATCATAAATTATTTTAAATGATTATATCTTTGGTAATTAGAAAAAATAAAGATACTTCTACTTTGAAAAACTACATAAAATATTATGGGGGAAAGGATTATTACACAGAAAAATGACAGGCGAATAATATGTTGTTGTTATTAAGTGCTATCAAGTTCCAACTCATAGTGACCCTGTATAGGGTTTCTGAGGAGCGACTGGTGAGTTCAGACCACTAATCTTGCTGTTCAAAACAACTTGCAGTCTAGTGCTTATCCTACAGTGCCACATCAATGAATGATATATCAAACATTAAAAACAAAAGTAAATCTTTTATTTTTATATTCTTTTTTGTTTTCAAATCTATACTAAGTATGGACTCCTGATGTGGTGCTGTATGATTAGTACTGGACTTCAAAACACAGGGTCAGCAGTGTAAACCCACCAGCTGCTCCTTGGAAACCCTATACAGGGTCTCCATGAGTCAGAACTGCCTTGATGGCACTTAACAACAACAGTACTAAATATATTTTATTAATTAGAAGGGGGGGGGATCATATCCAAACTCTTATTCCTCACAGATGACAGTAAGGATCTGTGGAATATGGAAGACTCTGAGGCCTGAGAAGATGAATCACAGAGGACAGAAGGGAAACTCCAGGCCTCAAAACCCCCTGGCTGCCCGCTTGCTGTGCCTTTCTTTATCAAATAATCAACAGATAATGTGGACTTTTTTTTTTTCTGTTGCTATTAGGAAAACTTTCCCTGAGCCAGTGGGCTCTTTCTATGGAAAGCGTCTTGGAACTAAACTTACCGTGGAGATCCCTGAGTGTGCATCTGGTAAACAGAGATAAAGATGGAAAGGTTGAGTACATGTCCAGCTTCCAGGATGTCCAGATTAAAAAACCTGTGAAAGAGGCAAGTGCAACAAAGCTCCAGTTAAAACCTGGCTAGAGTCAAACACCTCTTGAGTAATGTAAAAGAGGAACTTGGCCCATTCAAAATTTGGGAGAGGAATTATTTGATGGATGGGGTTGTCCTGGGCAATTTCTAATGGGGACTGATACATTGTGGTTTGCTGGGGCACTCTGTGTGTTCTGAGGGTAGGCAAAATGAAAAGGCAAAAAGCCTCTGTAAGTGAATCTATGGCAAATATGTGATTCTTATTCTGTAGAAGGGCAGGGGTGTGACACCCATTCATTATACCCCTTTAAAAATATTCAACAAATTCCCTTCTGACTTGGAGGCATCTACACTAGTTGAAGTGGCCAAGAATGTATTTTAAAGATTTAAAAAATTTATAATCCCATATGAAAATGTGAATACCCCAGTACAGAGATATTGCGGGCTAGATTTCCAGACCACCGCAATAAAGTGCATGACACAATAAAGCGAGTCACAAGAATGCTTTTGTTTCCCAATGTTTATACTACAGTATAACCTATTAAATGCACAATAACATTATGAAATGTCTGAAATTTTGTGAGAATGGCTAACATGTGGCACAGACATGAAGTGAGAACACGCTGTTGGAAGAATAACACCAGTAAACTTGTTGATGCACTCTTGCCACAAACTTTCCATTTATAAAAATTACTGTATCTATGAAACTCAATAAAGCAAAGCACACAATAAAATGAGGTCTGCCTGTACTCACTAGTTCACAACTTATCGGCAGTTAGTTAACCTGGGTGGTCGTTTACCAAGGAGATGTGAAGTTAACAACATAGGAAAGGGAAGTAACAGTGCAGTTAGAAGACGAAAATATCTATAGGACTGATGTTTTGACTTCATGTTGCTGTTGTTGTTGTTAACTGCTATGGAGTCATGTATAGGTAGTTTAATGCAGTGAGTATAGTACAGTCGCTGTTGTTAAGTGCCGTCAAGTCAGTTCCGACCCATAGCAACCCTGTATAGGATTTCCAAGGAGCAGCTGGTGAACTTGAACAGCTGACCTTGCAGTTCAAATCGACTGCAGTCCAGCACATTAACCTGTACTGCACACCAGGACTCCTTGTAATGCCACACCAGGACTCCTTGCCTTAAGGTAGCTTTGATTCAAATTCCACTTACCAGGTAGTGAATTTAGGACAGTTACTCTGCTGCTCTGTTTCCTAATCTGAACAAAGGACATAAAAATGGTAGTTTCTCCTCCTGGGCTTGTTGCTGAGATCACGGGTGTTCACAAGGATGTTGAATATTGTTATTAAAAAAAAAAAAATCAGTTGCTATCGAGTCGACTCTGACTCATGGTGACCCTACTTGTATCAGAGTAGAACTGTGCTCCACTGAGTTTTCCATGACTCATTTTCCAGAAGTAGATCACCAGCCCTTTCTTCTGAAGTGCCTCTGGGTGGACTCAAACTTCCAACCTTTCTGTTAGCAGCCAGGTATTGACTGCTTGCTTATTTACCTGGTGACACAGAAGTTAAGCCCTCAGCTGCTAACTAAAAGGTAGGTGGTTAGAACCCACAAACCGCTTCACAGGGGAAAGATGAAGCAGTCTGTTTCCGTAAAGATTTACAGCCTTAGAAACCTTTTGGGGTGGTTCTACTCTGCCATGTAGGGTTGCTCTGAGTTGGAATCAACTCAGCATCAGTTTTTGTTTTTGTTTTTAACCCTGTCCCCTGGAATATGGACTGTGGAAACTTCAGAAAACAGGACACACAAACTTTTCTCTCATTAAAGAAGGCTGGCCTCCAAGGAAGGCTTGCCTTCTCAAAGTTCTAAGTCATGTCATTTGAATTGACCATGAGGTCTTATGTTTGTTATATTTACTAAAATTGATAGGTGTCATGAATTCTATATTTTAACGCTTATCAAATCTTTATTTTAGGCTCATTCTTCTCTAATTGAGACTCTCTACAGATACCGTTCTGATCTGCAGATCATATTTAATGTCATTGACACTGATCACTCAGGTAAATGAACTTTAATTAGTTTGATAAGCAAAAGTTAGTCCATATCTCCAAAATCAGAACTCTATTTTCATCTGTTTCACTCTTCATGCAAACCTGATTAAACTTGAAGGGGAAAAATGAGCTCATGTTTATTATTATTACTTAAGTTTGGCCATAAACTCTGTATTCAAAACCAGAGAGGCCTATATAAGCCGATGTATCCATTGATCATATTGGAGTCATTCATTTTATCAGCACAAATGAAAAAAAAAGTACTGTCTATTTACATATCTTAATTATTCCTTGCAATAAAAAACATTCCTAGGGTTCTGATTCTAGTTTTTGGAGTGAGGGCTATGATAATTCATTTATTTTTTACTTAGCTTTGGTGCACAGTTACTCATTTTCAAACTTAAAGATCAATAGATAACCCTCTACTCCAGAGCCCTTTCATGAACATGAACTCAATAATCTGACACATGAAAGTAAATTATTGCCTATGAAAAAAGACAGAGCCATTGTTTGTAGTCTCATGGTGTTTCTCTCCTTCCTCTGCTTTGATATTGCTCTCTTTTCTGCCCTCCTTCCCATAAATTTCAGATCTTACCATTTCTGTAACACATACTGTCCCACAGTCCACAGTCCCCTTCCTAGTCCTTCACTGTTTATTCATTCTAGCTTTAGAGGAATCTCAGGATCATTTGGTAGTTGAAAGTGGCATATTGTTTCTTACATTTATGCTCTTACTCTTGCATTCTTTCAGTGTCTTGATGCTCAGACATGTTAGTTTCTAATTGGTTTTCCCACCTCTCCCTTAGATGGGTCTTAAAATGAGCACTCACAGCCTTCTCCTGTATTATTTTAGGCTTGATCTCCATGGAGGAATTCCGTGACATGTGGAAACTTTTCAAAACTCACTACGGTGTTCATGTTGATGATATTCAAGTTGACGAGCTCGCTAACCAAATGGATTTAAACAAAGATGGAAGCATTGATTTTAACGAGTTTTTAAAGGCTTTCCATGTAGTGCATAAATTTGATACACTGCACAAAAGCGACACTCTTGCTTTCCAAGAATGAGGACTCCCTGTATATACCAGGCCCAAAGACACAGTCTTTTCCTAGGCCCTTAAGATCCTTAATAGTAGAGAAGAGTAATCCTAATTTACTCCATAAGTAGATGCATAGTGTGGGTGTTAGAAGTGCCTACTGAATTGTTGTTGGTAAGGCTATGTTAAGTGGCATCTGATAAGATTTGGCTTCAGTATTAGAAACCACATATTGTTAGTTAGAAACCAGTTTGAACCTTGTGCCAGTCTCTTGGATACCACCTAACCGGGAGACTAGAGCAGTATGAAAACACACTGAAGAAAACAACAACAAACAAACAAAAACAAAACCCACAGTGTGTAGGAAAGCTACTAAGTATAATATCTGAGTATTAATAAAATAAAAAGATTTTCATCTCTCATCTGTGATTTTCTTTGGAGATACCATAAACCAGTGATTCTCTATGATGGGGGAACCCTTCAGTAATAGGAACTATATCAGATTCTTGGTGGAATCTGGGGAAGTATATTGTTTGAAAAAGCATATTTTTTTCTTAGCTGTTGAAAATGGAAAGTGAAAACATTCAGCTTGAGTCTCATAGTATGGGTTGACACCTTCACTAGTAAGATGGCGCTTTGGTTATATATGCATTGTGCAATTTATTCTGCTATTCTGATTGCATGTCAAGCATAAGGGATTTCTATTTAATGCCAAGTATATGTTTTATATTATTTTAAAGTTTGGGAACTTCAAGATCTATCAGTATGTCGAACTATATATCCTACAACCCAACACTGTCTGCTACAAGTACCAGAAATAAGGGATAAAATATAACAAATATCTTTTTCAAAAGAAACTTCTAGGGTGCAGGAGGAAAGAGCAAAATCAAAACCATAGAAATATTAATATCAGATTGCATACACTTTAAGGCAAAGAATATCGTTAGGGTTATAGAAGATCATTGCTGAATACAAAAAAATGCTAAAATACTAAGATGAGTCACTGGAAAGATATAACAATTATATACTTAAAGAATCTTTAAAATTTATAATGGAAAAATTGATATAACTTCCAGGGGAAATTAGTAGAGCTTTTTAATGCACTTCAGTCAGTAAATAAAGAATTAGTATATAGAAGATTGAGCAGCCCAGTTTATCCACCTGAACTAATACACACACACATATAAACAAAACCCTGCAATCAATTTTAAAGGATACACATTCTTTCCAAGCACACATGGAGCAGTCATAAAAATTGATCAACGTATGTCTTAATTACCACTACTCATCTGTCAGTTGGTCGTACTGTGGTGATTTCATGTTGGTGTGATGCTGGAAGCTATGTCACCGGTATTTTAAATACCAGCAGGATATATAGCTGTGGTAGACAGTGGCTGAGTTTCCAGAATAAGACAGACTGGGAAGAAGGAGAGATGGACTACTTTGAGATGTTTAGTCACTTGAAAACCTTATGAATAGCAGTGGAACACCAACATGTTGATTATTAACACATGATGAATAGCACTGGAATATTGTCACACATAGTGCCAGAAGATAAGCTCCTCAGATCGGAAGGCACTCAAAATATGACTGGGAAAGAGCTGCCTCCTCAAAGTATAGTTGACCATGACAACATGAATAGAGTAAAGCTTTCAGGACCTTCATTTGCTGATGGGACACAACTCAAAATAAAGAGGAAACAGCTGCAAACATCCATGAATAATCAGAGCATGGAATGTATAAAGTATGAATCTAGGAAAATTGGAAGTTGTCAAAAATGAGATGGAAAACACAAACATTGATATTCTAGGCATTAGTGAGCTGAAACAGACGTGTATTGGCCATTTTGAATCTGATAATCATATGGTTTACTATGTTGTATTTATCAAAAAGAACATTTCAGATCTATTTCAAAGTATAATGCTGTCTGTGATAGGATAATATCCATATGCCAACAAGTCAGACCAGTTAATACCACTGTTATTCAAATTTACTGCACCAGCCTCTAAAGCCAGTGATGATGATGTTATTAAGTGCCATCAAGCCCAGTTCCAACTCATAGCAACCCAGTATAGGGCTTCCAAGGAGTAGCTGGTGGGTTTGAACTGCTGGTGGTTAGCAATCCAGCACTTACCCTATAGTGTCACATCAGTACTATAATTCTACCAACTTCTTCAGTCTGACCAGTGACTTCTTCATTGAAAAAATACTTCTTTTAAACAACATCAAAGATGATTATGCACATGGACTTCGCCATATGGAACACACAGAAATCAAATTGATTACATTTGTGGAAAGAGACACTGGAAAAGCTCTATATCATCAGCCAAAACCAGGTCATGGGCAGACTGTGGAACAGACCATCAGTTGCTCATATGTGAGTTCAGGCTGAAGCTGAAGAAAATTAAAACAAGTCCATGAGAGCCCAAATATGACCTTGAACATAGCCCACCTGAATTTAGAGATCATCTCAAGAACAGATTTGGTGCAGTAGATACTAATAACCAAAGACCAAAAGAGTTGTGGGATGACATCAAGAACATCATACAGGAAGAAAGCAAAGAAAAATACCCCAGGAATTGATGGAATACACATTGAAATCTTTCAACAAACTGATGCAACACTGGAGGTACTCATCTATGCCAAGAAATTGGGAGGACAGCTCCTTGGCCAGCTGACTAGAAGAGACCCATATTTGGGCCCATTCCAAAGAGAGGTGACCCAACAGAATGTGGAAATCATCGGACAATATCATTTAGATCACGTCAAGTAAAATTTTGCTTAGGATAATTAAAAAACAGAGGAAACTGCACATTGACAGAGAACTGCCAGAGTTGCACGCCAGATTCAGACGAGGATGTGGAATGAGGGCTATCATTGCTGACGTCAGATGGATTTTAGTGAAAGCAGAAAATACAAAGATGTTTACCTGTGTTTTATTGACAAAGGTTTTCGACTGTGTAGATCATGACACACTAAGGACAACATTGTAGAGAATGAGTGTTCCAGAACACTTAATTGTGCTCATGAGGAATCTCTACTAGACAAAGAGGCAGTCATTCGAACAGAACAACAGGACACCCAATGGTTTAAAATCAGGAAAGGTGTGTGCCAGGGTCGTATTATTTCACCATACTTATTCAATCTGTATGCTGAGCACGTAATACAAGCAGCTGGATTATATGAAGAAGAATGTGGCATCAGGGTTGGTGAAAGACTCATTAACAACTTGTGATATGCAGATGATACAACCCTGCTTGCTGAAAGTGAAGAGGACTTAAAATACTGATGAAGATCAAAGACCACATCCTTCAGTATGAGTTGCACCTCAATGTAAAGAAAACAAAAATCCTCACCACTTGACCATTAAATAACATCATGATAAATGAAGAAAAGATTGAAGTTGTCAAAAGACTTCAGTTTGTTTGGATCCACAGTCAACACTCATGGAAGTAGCAGTCATGAAATCAAAAGACGTATTGCATTAGGCAAGTCTGCTGCACAAGACTTCTTTTAAAGTGTTGAAGAGTAAAGATGTCAGTTTGAGGACTAAGGTGCATCTGACTTAAGCCATGGTATATATAGCTTCATATCCATGTGAAGGTTGTACAGTATATAAGGACGACTGTATAAGAATTGATGTATTTGAGTTATGGTGTTGAAGAATATTAAAAGTACCACAGACTGCTGGAAGAGCAAACAAGTCTGTGTTGGAAGAAGTACAGCCAGAATGCTCCTTAGAAGCCAGGATGGTGAGACTTTGTCTCTCATACTTCAGACATATTATCAGGAGGGACCAGTCCCTGGAGAAGGACATCATGCTAGTTAAAATGGAGGGTCAACATAAAAGAGGTAGACACTCAATGAGATGAGTTGGCATCATAGCAGCAACAATGGACTCACGCTTAATGATTGTGAGGATGGTGCAGGATCCCGCAGTGTTTTGTTCTGTTGTGCATAAGATTACTAGGAGTCGGAACTGCCTCTACAACATCTAACAACGGCAACATGTCTTAATTATGTAGTACTGCTATGGACTACTGGTGTGGCACTGTGGGATAAGCACTAGGCTTCGAAACACAAGATTGATGGTTCAAACCTACCAGCTGCTCCTCAGAAACCCTGTAGAGGATTGCTATGATTCAGAATCAACTGGATGGCACTACAACAACAGCTATAACATAAATTTCACAAGTAGATGGTTTTAACAAGCAAAAATGTATTTGCTCACAGGTTAGAAGGCTAGAAGTCTGAAATTAGGGCACTAATTCTAGACGAAGGCTTTCTCTCTCTGTTGGTCCACAATTTAGGAGGCAGGTCCTTGTCTCCTTTCAGCATCTGCGGGTCTGGCATTCCTTGGAGATCTCCATATGTCTTGGCATCCATCTTCCCTTGGGTCAAGGAGGTTTCCAGCACAGGGACCCTTAGTCCAAAGGACATGCTCCACTCCTTGCTCTTCTTTCTTGGTGGTAGTAGGTCCCCCCTCTCTGCTCCTGCTCTTTCATCTCTTGTGAGATAAAATGTGATGTAGACCACACTCATGGAAGCTTCCTTTTCAGCCAATCAGGGATGTAACCTGAGCAAGGGTGTTACACATCCCATGCTAATCTTCTTACAGCTGAATGACTGAGTACATTAAATCACATGATGAGGGATGATCGCATCATTGCATAACTGCCAAACCACTGAGAATCATGGCCCAGCCAAGTTGACACATACTTTGAAGGAATACATTTCAATCCGTGAGAATGTTGTAGACCACAAAACATATCTCAAATACCAAGCAATCAATAACAGAGAGACTATACTCTATGATCATAATAAAATTAAATTAGAAACATATGAAAAGATAACCATATTAATGAATGAGAAAATGGGCATACCTGTAGATATACCTGGAGTTATTTTACTTTTTTAAATAAGATTACAAGAATACTGTAACTAACTTTATGCCAATAAATTTGATAAATTCAATGAATGGACATTTCATAGGGAAAATGTTAATTTACTAAAGCTATTTCAAGAACAAAG